AAAAAGGATTATATGTATGCACCCACCTAGTGCCCTTAGAGGTAGTCTACGGGTTGAACAAAGCCTTAGGCGTTTGGTTCTCTTGAGCACCAGGAGAGGGGTCAAGCAATCAGCTTATTAGACCAAAAGCTAGGCTCAAGGATTGTGATTCAAGCAACCTAAGTGAAACAAGGATGGTTAGCTATGGTCCCACACACTCACTATTAGAGGAATGTCATTTGTGGAGTGGGCTGAATGGCAGATTGATCTGAGATTGGATGAAGAGTCGGTTGGAAATGAGCTGGGACTCTAGAGGCATTGTTGGAGAATGGAGAATCAACTTGCTCAGCAGCCAAAGCAGAAATTTGTGTTATTTTGTGTTTAGATATTGTGTTTTGTTGTTTTGTTTTGTGTTGTTAGGCATTACTCGAGGTCGAGCAATGACTTAAGTTTGGGGGTGTGATAACTCACAGAAATAGAGTTATTTAGCATACTTTTAGGCTTAATATTTGTTTATATTCTCCGGGTAAAATGCCTTTGTTGTTAGTATTTTGAATAGCATTTATTAATCTTTTTCCGTGTGGCAGAAAGTTGTTATTTATGGGAAATCTTGCTATATTTTGAAGTTATTCCTAAATTCAACTCATTGCATTGACCCTGGGAACTTAGTGCATGATGTCCACAGGAGGTGCTGACGTAGGCTTTTGGTGAGAAAAGCGCGGTGGAAAACACAAATGTTGAAATGCCCCCAATGCCATAGCATTGCTACAGCAAAGTCGCAGCAAAAAGCAGGAGCAGCAAAAAATTAGCAAGTTGGCGCAGTTTGTCTTTTAGCGCTGGTAGTGGTCCAAGCACTGACGCTATCAAGTCTGGACAGCTGTAAGAGCACCAGGAGGGGGGACCATCCATCATGACTCTCATGCTTACACTTGTCACTAGGGCACCTCAACATGCCCTAGTATATAAAGGAAAAGAAGAGTATAGTACATAGAGCCAGAAAAGAGGAAAGAAATCGGTGGAGGTGCACAGAATTCCTGTACGAGTTGGAAACGGAGACAGAAGAGAGTACAGGAGATTTTGGACGCTGGAGCTGGAGAAAAGAAGAGTACAGCACGGATATACAGGGGTTTTTGACCTCAGATTCTAGCTTAGCTGTTTTCTCCTTCTCTTTGTATTTACTTTCTGAGACCTTATGGATCTGTTATTTGTTATTAATTCTGATTTTGTTGAACTAAACATGAGCTAAATTCCTTAGCTAGGATTATTGATGGAACCAAAGTTGCAATGAAGATCTATTTGCTATTTTGATTGATAATGTAATTTTCATCTGGTTTATTCAAGCATATTTATTGTTTACTTTCTATTAAGTGACAGGCCATCATTTAGTAAGAAAACACAAACTTAAGCTAATTCTGGAAAGGTTGGTTGAGTTAGATCTAGCTTGGATAATGTAAGAGATAGTATAGGAATATACTATTATCTTGTACAACCCATTAAAATTTATGTTAACGTCAGATTTGTAAACTAAAACACATAGGAATATGTTGGTTTGGTTTAAGGAATTACAAGCATAAATCTGTCGGAAGATGATTATGTAGAATTTTAGGTTGACTAGATGAACTTTGCTACAGCAATCGTATAGCAAATCGTGGTCAGAGTTGCAACCGAGGGGAAACCAGTAATCCTAGCCTTCATCCATAATTCTCTAAGCTCAGATCTTGTTGACTTTTACCTCTTGTCTGCATTTAAATTACAGTCTTTGGTCTTATACATTCTTTTCACTTAATTAATATCAATTTGGCATTCAAACTATTTTCGATCATATTGATACAACTGGTTTTTGTAATAGAATTCATCATTAACTCAGTCCCTGTGGAGACGATACTTTACTCATTACTATATTACTTGTTCGATTGCGTGCGCTTGCGTGGAGTCATTTTATGCATAGAGTTTTTGGCAAACAGTGACGTTTAGTTTGAAGGTTCAAAGAGTTTGAACTTAAATTCAAGTTTAAACCCGTGTTTATTTTACAAAAGGTAAAAAGTATTTAAATCCTTGATATGACATTTCATAACCCAAGATTCTAAAAAAATAAAAGATTTTTGAATCCAAGTCTCTCATAAATTCTCAAGATTTAGTGGCAGTTCGTCTCTTGACTTTTGGGCAAATGTTCATGTACAACTTCATTTTCGTTTTGTATTGCATTGTCACTTTTGTTATAAGGTTGGACACGTTAATGGAAGCTGTAGCAGTGGTGCCCTGTTTCTGCAATTAATGACGAAGCAAATCAGATGACTGATGGAAATCTAGTGATTGATCTATACTACAATGAAAATTAGAAACTGCGTAAATTCATTAATGGTAGGCAATGTATCACAGTCACATGTAAAGAGAAAATAAGAAAGCAAAAAGACCGCAAGGAAAATGAGTAGGAGAAACACAGGCACACACATTTTGTAAGTACTGATAGCTACAGGGATAATTATGCAGCCTGCCAGTGAAACACGCCGTGGATCGACTTTTGCCACAGAGGGCAAAACTATTGCAAAAAATGCCGGATTGCAATTAATAAAGTGACCATTTTAGCATTTAAGTTTCTTTTAGCAGGGAGTTTATATTGAACCTTTTGAGTTTAAATTTGATGTGAGATTTTGTGAAGTTTGAACCTCAATTTAAATACGTGTTCGTTTAGAACTACAAATGTTATAAACGAACTAGATCATTGTAGAAAATTGACCACGTCTTTGTGCAATCAGATGGAAAAGTTTTCTTCTGTTTTCAAATCACACACAAACACACACACATTCTGTTTTCAAATCACATACAAACACACACACACACACACACACACACACACACACATGTATATATCAAAATTTTGCAAATTCTGTAAAATTGAAATTGTTGTTTTCTTCTCAGTTTTTTTTTACCGCGAATTAGTATTTGGTTATTTGATGATACATCATTTAACTGTTTTTTTTTGTTTTTTGTTTCATGATGCGTAAAGTTAATCCGGCAAATAAATGTGTAAAGGATTGGAGAGCGAATTATCAACGGATTTAAGTTCTTTTCTCAAATTATATATTTGTGTATGTTTCAAGCACTAAGTACAGGTTGAAATACATTGTTATCTGATTGCAAAGACACAGCAAGGGAATGGGCTTGTTGTGCCTCTCTAACAGGTGAAGGAATGTCCTCAATCTCTCTCTTGGGTTTAACCCATCTCCCATGAGCATTACAAACCAACCCCTTATGGGCTAATTGGTACCAACACTGTGGAATTCTAAGCTCATCCACCAACATATCACATGCCTTGTTCACTAAAGCAACATCCCTCCTTGCATTGTTCCTAAATGTGGCCCTTGTGCTTAAAAAACCATCCACAAGATGCAGGTAAGTCTCCAAGCTATGAAACCCAATCAAATTGAATCCGCGCTTCAAATAAGATGACGACCGGACGTCAAGTTTCAGCTCAGCCCCAACATGGGTGTAAATCCATTCCAATGTTCCCGTGATCTCATCGAACTTCTGCAAGCTCTCGTTTAAAACTAGCCCCGGCATTCGCGGGACCATGTCTTGCTTGACAACAACTCTCAATGTCCTCACACCCATTTGGTGAAGCTTGTCTCTGAAGGCGGTGTTCCCAACTCTTGGGGCGCCAAAGGAGATAACGCTGATGGGCAGCCCGGGAATCGCATGCGCAGCCTCATAAGCGTTGAGCAAAGCGAGCGCCCCACCGAGGCTATGGCCCGTGATTGTGAGGCTAACTTCTTCACCCTTTGCCCTATACATCTCCACAAGCCTCTTTACTTCCTTCATGACTTGTTCCGAGGCACTCGACTTGTTATATCTCGTAATCTCGCTTTTCGACGTGTAAATGCTCAAGAACCCATGTTCAACTTTGGCGTCGTGATTCCCAATTGGCTCCAACTCCCTTTGAAGATCCTCGTACCCCTCTGACGGAGCCACAGTTCCCCGCCACGCCACGACAATGTCTCTCCGCCCGATTCTCCGCGTTTCCTCGTCGCCGCTCACTGCTACGTATCCCATCCAATTGGAGTGTTTGCTCCAGGAATCCACCAAATGGGATCTCTCCAGCCAGTTGGGAAAATCTATATGTGACATGGCGTAAATGTACTTGCTGACATTATAGCCGTTTTTTCCCAGACCCATTTTTTCGAACAGTTTGTGCGCATTGTACCTGCAACTCCCACAGTACTCCGAAAACGAATCGAAATCAAAAGCGTCGTAAGTCGCTTGCGCGAATTCACCGTACTTGACGATCTCTCGCCTTAGCCAAGGATGAAGCGGGTCGAGAAGATTCTCCCAGCCGTTGGATCCGTGGATTTCCCGCCATTTTTCGGCGATCACTTCCTTCGGAGAAGTCGTCGGAGTCGAATGTTTCTCTTCGACATCGTAAAAATTGGAGTTAGAAGTCGAGAAATAGTCGTGAAGATTTTGTTTCGAAGGAGTTTCGATGTGGAGGTGAAGGAGATTGGAGAGCGATTCGGCCAAGCGAGTCGCCGTGTTCGTTAATGGCGGTTTTTTTGTTTGTGGGCAGTGGCTGATGACGGCGGCTTCTTGGTGGGCAGCGCGTATTGAAAAACGACGTCGTTGGCTCGAAACGGCACCATTTGTCGTTGGAAAATGGTTGGTCATCATCGTAGACATGGCCGTGGTCAGTTGGTCTAAATTCCCCCACCAGATGACTGAAGAAATGCTTGAGAAAGGCTTTTTGGTGGGCAAAAGAAGACTCGGAGATTTTTGGGAAGAAGAAAGATGAATGTAGGGACTATATAGAGAGAGAGAGAGAGAGAGAAAGAGCAGAAGAAGCAAAGCGTGTGTTAATTATTGAAGACTGTTACGCGGGTTGGATTCTACTCTTTACTTTTATCATGTTTGACGCTAATAGTCTAATATTTTTGTACGGATTTGAATTTCAGGTCCTTTTTTTTTTCGGACCATGTCTTGCAGGTTGAATCTTAGTTACGTGTCAAATTTATTGTTTTTTTTTTTTTTTGGTGAGAGAATTTTATTAAACATATTCTTTTATGAATATAAAAGGGACCCATGATTTCGTATGTCTCGTTTATTTCATAGATTTGAGTTTTTAATTTTAGATTTTTACAGTAAAAAATTCTCATAAAATGTCACATCTAACTTTTTCTGCTACAGTAAAAAGTTCTCATAAAATGTCACATTTAACTTTTTCTACTACAGTAAAAAGCTCTCATAAAATGTCACATCTCAACTCGAATTGAAAACTCGAATCCGCGAAGTGAACGAAGCCGTAGTATACGCCTTTAATTTAATTATTAAAAAAGTTTATTGAGACTATGAGTGGAATGATAAGACTAAGAGCTCGTTTGGTTCATGGATTATAACCATTTTCGATTTATGTGTATTTTTTATGAGAGAAAATATTATTGCGAATAACGAATCATGATTCGAATCAGGGAACGAATCCCTTTACCAAACGGGCTCTAATCGTTTTGAATCTTAAAGGTTCTAAGGCCTTGTTCACTTCGCATCGCAGATTTGAATTTTTAATTTGAGTTGAGATGTGATATTTTTTTAGAGTTTTTCACTGTAACAAAAAAAGTTAGATGTGACATTTTCTGAGAATTTTTTACTGTAAAAACCTAAAACTGAAAACTTGAATCGGTAAAATTAATGAGACTTTAAATACATCTTTACCATTATGTCAACACGGTAATAGAAATTTGTATTAAGGGTCGTATATCCATTATTATGTGTATCTTCAATGATTGGACAACATTTTTCAAGTTTTGTCCTTGTTATAGATAAAACCTCTACAAAGTTTCACTCAATTTTAAGATATGAAACTGTTAGACTGAGGTCTTCAATCACGCCAAAAAAAAAAAAAAAATGTTGCCTCTATGGTTTGTAATTCGTTGTTATGCTTATGGTTCCTATTAAAATGTACTTTCAATTGTAGTTTTTTTTTTTTTCCTCCTCCTTTTGAGAATAATATCTTGTTTGTTGGAATATTTCGAGCAAACATGATAAAAGTACAAAATTTTATTGACTTTACGTTTTTAAGATTTTATGAAGTATGAACTCTGAATAATTTAGGGGTTGTTCTTTTACAACAAAACTCAGAAAAAGTTTAAATTCGAATTACAACTTTATTTCAGTTCGTGTTCTTTTGTAAAATTTGAGTTTAAACTCGAATTTGGGGCTAAACTCGAGTTCAAATTTCTCCTTCAACTTGAGTTCATAAACTCGAACTCAAGTTAATGAGCTGTATTTTTTCTATTCTTAAAAATGTCATAACTTTTTCGTTTTAATTCTGATTGAGATGATTTTTTTTCTATGCATTCACAACGAAAAGAAAAATAAAATCCCACCCATATACACTATTAAAATTTCTCATCACCATTGAGTTTTTATTAAAATACTATCTAAATATAAATTTAAGTTTTGACCTACCTAAACACAAACTCAAAAAGATTTTCAATTCAAATCATAACTCAAATGTACACATCTAAACACAAACTCAAGTGACAACTTCAAGTCAAGTTATAACTTAAACTCAACTTAAGATCATCACTCAAGTCACCCTAACTCAAAAATGTAAAAGAACAACCCTAATATTTCGAGCAAACATGATAAAAGTACAAAATTTTATTGACTTTACGTTTTTAAGATTTTATGGAGTCTGAACTCTGAATTACCTCGTTAGGTAAAGTTTTCGAAATATGCCAGTTACTTTTTCAATGGTTTACTTTCTGTTCGCACTCTCTCAATTGATATGTTTCCTCAATTTTAATGCAAACATGTACTAGTTTTACATATTAATACAGAAGGGACATTATTATTCTTGAAAGAAGATGGAACAACCCTATCAATATCATAATATTTATCCATATCTTAAATTTTGAAAAATAAAATAAAATGGCCAATATATTATTTAATGAATATAGACATCTAAGTTTAATCTTAATTTTTTAATGAATTTATGTGACATGTGAGTCATATTTATTGTTTTAATATATGTTTAAAAAATTATCACGTTAATTAATAATAAATAATTACATCTATAAATAAAAAACACAATAAAATTAGTATAAAAAATTATAATTAAAATTAATATCCCTAACACATACTCTTATTTAATTGGATTTATCTCAAAGCTAACTTGCATTTCCCCATTGTGTACATAATTCTTCTTAGGATCTACTAAAGAAAATTATTAGATATGGTGCATATAACAAAAGAGTTTCCATTTCTATCAGTTATAAAATCAAAAAAAAAAAAAAAAAAAAAAAAAAAAAAAAAAAAGGGGGAAAGAAAAAAAAAAAAAAAAAAAAAAAAAAAAAAAAAAAAAAAAACAGCGGACAGGAACAATTTGATTCTCTAAGCGAAATGACATTTCAGGCGATAACAGTTTCAAAAGATGAAGAAGTGAAGAAAAGAGAAAATTAGAGAGAACTATGTTTTATTTTATATATAGTTCTGCGATTAAAAAAAGGGGGGCCTTTTGATTTCTACGAAGTTGTCAATAATTAAACATTTTTGACTTTCAACACGTATATTATAAACGTTTACCTTTTCCGATTCCAAACGTGTACCATGCCCATAAACGTTCAACTTATTAAAAAAAAAAAAAAAAAAAAACCAATTATTAGTCACTTAGTCCACTCCTTTTGCATTGGTAATTGGCACACACGGACCATTCCAATCGTATTCGTGTTACTATTTTATTATCATGCATGTTTTTCTAAAGTTTACTGTTATAGACTCGATATGTATATACATACATATATATATATATGCATATATCGCAAAGGTGACGAACAAAATAGACATCATCACTACAAAAATGTGATGCAATTGGCTATTGCTCTTGATGGTTTTGAATTGCAAATAAATAGGGTTTGGCTTATCAGTTACTCTAAATATGACAATAAAAAATGGTTAAAAGAAAATAATTAATCGTTTAAATGTCTCAATTAGGCCAGCTAATACATGATTTCAGCATGGGAACTAATCATAATTGACCGCTTTTTAGTCAAACCCATGTGAATAGAGTACGGACCCATCCCAGTATCTGTTCAAGGCACAATTCACACATGTTTACACCGCAAATATTTTAAAATTTTTAATAATTTAGTATGATATAATTAATTAGATAATATTTTAGACATCAAAATTGTACATGTATTTGAATCTGCTAATTTTCTTCCTATGTATTGAAAACGTTGAGAGGTCAGACCATTCATTTGCCAAATATATTCCTTTTAACAATTGGACGTTTGGAATTTGGAGTAGATCTTTTGTACTTGTTGGTTACAACTTACAACTCAATATAATATTCGACAATACTAAATACTCTATGGTATAAAATATTGTAGACAACAATTAATTTAAACACATTTTTATCATCAGTAAGTAGGAAAATAAGAGATTAAAAAGAAAAAATTTTATCCATAAATATTGGGACGAGATTCCATAGAATTCTTCCATTCCAATTCACACTTAAATAAGTACAACAAGAAAACCATATATAGTTGTCTCCCTGAAAACTTAATTTATTTCCAGTGGGTTAGTGAAGAAAAAAAAAATTATTTTGTAGATAAAAAAACAAATTATTTTGTAGATAAAATTGCCGAACTTACTCTTAAGAGTGCATGAATCTGAATTTTTAACCATTATTATTGATTAATACCATTTTGTTAACATAGTTATTTGACTAAAAAATGTATTAATCAATAACAATGGATAAAAATCTAATCTCATGTACTTTTAAGATGTATTTGTCTCATTTATTTTAAGAGTGCATGAATCTGAATTTTTAACCATTATTATTGATTAATACCATTTTATTAACATAGTTATTTGACTAAAAAATGTATTAATCAATAACAAGGGATAAAAATCTAATCTCATGTACTTTTAAGATGTATTTGTCTCATTTATCCAATTTTGTAAGGAAATTAAAGCCTTCTTGATAACCTGGTATTTTATTTAATTGATTGACAAATCATCAGTGTTTAGGACAACCACCGAAACAATTCAAGTGTAAAAGAGAAAAAGAGACAAATATCCCTTAAATTATATAGGTATTAGATTTTTACCCCTTACACTTGATTAATACCCTTTAATCAAATTACTATATTCGTCAAAATGATATTAATTAAGAGTAAATTGTAAAAATCTTAGAGCAAAACATTTAAAAGGTGAGCTCACTAATTCTCTTTTAGCTTATACACCACACAAGTCAAATTGTACATCGGCATTCGACATAACAATCTTATGATGCAAGAACAATATTGATGAGCCTCGTGTTAAAATCATGGGCTCTACCGTAAGATATTAGGGTGCCAACTCAAAAGTTACTTAGTGAGTGGACTAGCTCACTCTCTTATAAACCCATCATGGCTCCCTTTTTTTGCTAATGTAGGACTTTGTTCGCACCTCCAACAAGTCCTCCTTCAAACAAAGTACCACAACGCGCCATTGAAAAATAATTCATTTTGTCCATTGGTTATTCTATCACACTACCATTGCGTTATATAGAGATCCCACCACTTTCTGCTCTCCATCACGTATTTTCGCATTTCATGATGTGCACAACAACCTTGAGGTCTCACTGCGTCTACAGCCTCGCATTACCGTGGAGAGACGGTCCACCTCTAGCGTTCACGAAATTTGTTATCCATCGCGATATTACCAGGGGCACACACCTTCATTTGGCACATCAAGTACATTCATCTCGTGGTACACTTAACAACATCTAAGTCCCAACTCTGATACTAATTGTTAAAACTATGGACTTCATCGTAAGAGATTGAGGTTACAACTTAAAATGTTAACCTCCCCTAATAACCTTTTAAACCAAGACCTGTTTAATACCAATGCTAAGGTTAATGATATATTTTGCACAAAAAGGTGAAAATAATATTTCATATGTTACTCTATTTTTTACTCTAATGCATACTGTTTATTTAAATGCTTTATTTATTTTTTGTTTTAATGTTTAAGCTATAGAGTATAGAATTCGTAGCGAAAATGCATCATTTATCATTTATTTCCAATTTCATCCTTTTCAGATCTAATAACCCTAATCTAAAATTCTCTCTCTCTGGCAACCTACAGCCTTCTCTCTATATCATCTCAACGAGATCGCTGAATCACCAGTTCGTTGTTCAAGGACGACGATGACGGAGATCGCCATGATCTCCGGCGACGCGCGACCTCGTCACCACCGGAGTTGTCGCGAGTTCGAGCAACGACAGCGGCGGAGATTGCTGTTATCTTCGTGATCTGTAACGGAGATCGCAAATCGAGGTCGTCATCTCACAAATCGAGGCGTTACGCCGCCATTGCAAAGCTCAGATCTGCTTTGTCTCCATCAGAATTAGACCGAAGATTCTCCGGCGTCAGATCTGCTCTCTCCTCCCCTCCCGAAGTCTAGTCTGTAGTCTCCTCCGCCGTCCGAAGCTCAGATATCACAAATGGAGGATGGCGCCGATCTGGTTCAGCCACTCCGGTCACCTTCATCGCCGAAATCGTCACCATCAGATTCTTTCTCTCTCCGATCTTTGATGGCAGTGTTCCTCTTCACTTTTTTCGGTGATTTTGGTTTTGTCTGGGTTTGTGAACCGAGCATCATTTTTGCAGAGTTTTGTTGAGTATTTTGCTAATTTAGTCGTTTGATTGTTTCCCTGAAAAATGATGTTTAGTTTCTGATTTTGGACTTTTTTTCTTTTCAGAGAAATGTTGTTTGTTTTTCGGCCACGATGATGGCAGATTTACCGTTGCTTTATATTTGGCCGACGATGATTTTTTTTCCTGTGATTTTAGTTTTATCTGGATTTACCGTAAATACAGTATTTATTAATCGTGAGAGTCGATCATCAGATTTTTGTGTAAATACAGGGTCTTCGTTGATTCAAATTTATAATTTGAGTTTAAATGTGATATTATGTGAAAATTTTTTACTGTAGTAAAAAAATTTTGCTATATGTGACTGTTTTTGAAAATTTTTTACTGTAGTAAAACTCAAATTCTAAACTCAAATTAACAAAAAGAACGGACCATAATAAATATAATATTTATCTGTAAATATAATATTTATTAATAAATATGGTATTTATTAATTGTCAGCGTTTGTCATTAAATTTTTGAACAAATATAGTAAATATGGTATTTATTAGTCGCTGTTGAATGAATTTTTAGATAAATATAGTATTTACTGGTCATTAAAGTCAGTCATTAGATTTTCAAATAAATATAGTAAATATCGTATTTATCAGTAAATATAGTATTTATCGATAAATACATTATTAACCAATCATCAGAATCAGTTGCCATATTTTTAAATAAATAAGATAAATATTGTATTTACACTAAATAAGGTATTTATTAGTTGACGGCTAAAAAACATATAAATTTGATATTTATTAATAAATACGGTATTTATCAATAAATACAATGTTTAATGACCATCAGAGTCGGTGGCGGGATCTCTGGATAAATATGATATTTACTAGTAAATACGGTATTTACCAGTAAATACAGTGTTTAATGGCCATCAGAGTCGGTGGTAGGATCTTTGGATAAATATGATATTTACTAGTAAATACAGTATTTATCAGTAAATACAGTATTAAACAATCGCCAGAGTCGGTGATCAAATTTTTGAATAAATATGATATTTACTAGTAAACACAGTATTTACTAGTAAATAACTTGTTAAACAGTCGCCAGAATCGATGCACGAATTTTCAGATAAATATGATATCTACTAGTAAATACAATATTTATCGGTAAATACAGTGTTAAACGGTCATCGAAGTCGTTGACCGTATTTTCAGATAAATATAATATTTATTAGTAAATACGGTATTTATTAGTAAATACGATATTTACCTGTAAATACAGCATTAAACGGTCGCTGGAGTTGGTGGTCAACTTTTCGAGTAAATATAGTATTTACTAGTAAATACAGTTTAAACGGTAAATATGGTATTTATCAGTAAATACAGTGTTAAACGGTCACCGAGAAAAGGTCAACGGTCACCGAAAAATAATCACAAGTTAACGAAAAATGATTTGATTGGAGTCGGGCATCGATCCCGGTCATGGTGGACTTTAACTATAATTTACCTATTCTAAAAAATATGCTATACTTTTTTTTTTTAAATAGATATTTAAGGGGAAGAAGAGAGGTGAAAAAAGAGATTGATGAGTATTTTTAGGTTTTTAATAATGTTTAAAACTTAAAATATCAAATTATACTATAATTTACTATTTTTAAAAAATATGCTATAATTTACTAATAACTTTACTAATTATGTTATTTAATTATATTATTTCCCTCCTTATCCCGAATTCATAAATAAACTTCTAATGTTAAAAAAATTTAAAAATAATAATATTATAATGACTAAATAAAAAAGACAATAAATCAACTAATAACAATCAATACCAAAACTTTACATTTAGCATACGCCGGATTTTGCAATAAATATTATCGTTGCATGGAAGAGTGTTTTTCCTACTCTATTAAAATTTGATATTTACTAATTTGATATTATATTAGAGATACTCTAAACAACTAAATATGTTTGCGATGAGAGTATGAAAAGGGAAAAAAAAAAAAAAAAAAAAAAAAAAAAAAAAAAAAAAAAAAAGGACCATCAAA